CAAGCTCATTTTTCTGTGGTGAAGTTTAGCTTTCCTTAGGCATCCAACAACAACATAGCTATTTGGCATCACACTACAAAAAGGAAAACTATGTTTTCATAGTGTTTCATTGCAACACACTTGAAAGTGCAATGCCGCAAACAGTAGTACATATTACTTGGTGTTGATGTCGGATTTCTGTGCCTTGTGTTGCAATCATTATTTGCAGGGTTGGGCCAGATTATTATATAGTCAGTTACTCAATGCAAATAACAACATATTGTAATTAATAAGTCAGTTAAACATGTGTATTATTGTATCTGATCAGTATTCTGACAACACTTAAAATATCTTACACAAAAGAGACAACTTTTTTTTCAAAGCTTCTTCGGTAAACAAATTGATTTTCCATATTAAGCATTATCTGATGGTCAAATTTAACATTGCTTGCAAAAACAGTACTGTCGTACATTACTATACTGTAGTACATTCTGTGTGCTCTTACCTTGCACTAGCATCAGACTGAAAAATTTTACTTTAAAGAAGTATTCAAAGCATAATCCTTATTGACGAGGCCATAATCTAACATATTTACACATTTTGTTAAATATCCTCTACGGGTGTAGTTTCTTATTTTTAGAGTGACTACTACGAATGTTGTTGGCGACTAATTTGTAGTTTATTAATCATGAGAAAAATCAAATCCAGTTAATGATATTTGTAATAAACATTGGCAATACAAATACTAGGGGTGTATATACGTACTAGGGGTGTATATATATAAGATATATGGGACTGTCAAAGTCTTGGTTAATAAGCTTTAAATGACACTGAAATGTATGGAACCTTGCACTGTATACATGTGTGGCTAACATTAGTAGTGCTAGCACCAGTAGCCTTCCGTCTCTGCAGGCTGGCATCTACACACCTGAGAACAGCCTGCATATAACCTTTCATTTTCTGCATCACAGTACTGTCTGTCAACACTGTTCACATAGCTGTCATCTGATTACTTTCCACTTTGTTTGTTGTGACAACAGCCCATCACACAGGGAGAGGCAAAACCCATTAGCCTGGGATAGTGTCACTCTAACATTGCGAACCATCTTTGTACATAAATTCTTAAAAATGTAAGAACAATATATTTACCTTGCATTGCAATACCATTTGCATTTCACCTAACCAATGGAGTAGTGCTGTTGTATGATACAGTATCATGCACTGCTTGTTGTGACTATGGTAAGAGTCTGTGCACCGTCAGCTGCAGCTGCGCGGTTAGGCACCCGTTCGTGTCACAGCATTTAGAAAGAAAAACAGATTGACTGCCTCTCCCAAAGAGCACTGCCAAGACAAATCTATGACTAAAATTTCAGACTTTGGATGACACAACTAGCAATGATTGTTTTTATGTTTGTTATGATTAGGACTGTTTGATTTAAATGATGAAACAGTGTGGACATGGAATGATCGCTGGTGAAGACAACGCATCTTTCACAGATGCATCACAAGTTGAAATGACTCACTATGCAACAGCGCTATAGAATGAACAGCTGTAGCAGATAAAGTATGAACAGTAACCACATGTCCAGTGATAGAAGGAAGAGCAGCTGCAACTTGCTCACACTTGCAGCTGGATACTGTCAGGGAGTAAACATATTACAAAGTGTCACATCATCTCTTCTCTTACAGTTATGTTGTAGAAAGTATCTTGGCTGTCCATTCAGATATTCAATTATCAGTTAGCAACATAAACTTTAAGTCACACAAACTAATACGAATCCATATCTTCATGA